CGGTTTCAGAAATCGGTATTTATTATTTTTTCGATTTCGGGTTTATAAGAGAATGTTATCCATAACTTATAATAATTTTTTCAAATTTTAGTACATCACCAGCCTAATAGTGTTGTAGGCTGTAGCAACTGCAAAAGTACAAAATAAAACTATCTTAGGTTATTTAATTGTATATTATTGGTTAAAAGTATAACTCACGGGTGACAGTCAATGGAGTATTATAAATTAATATCTTATACATAAATAATACACTATAAAATATCTATCTATAGTATATTATACGGAATAAATCGTGTGTATAAAAATAACAATCGTTCGTCGAACGCTAATTCCTTATCATATATATTTTAAGAAAACAAAATAGGTACTAGTTATTTATTATTATGTATAATAAATATTATTACCAAATATGGCGATGTTTACGAATCGATAATATAAATAGACCTGTTGGCTGTTGAATTATAAATTAATTTGATTTAAAATCGTTTTAATTAAAATGATTTTGATTTTGATATGAAATATTGATTTTAACTTTTTCAATTTCAATATAAATTTTTAAAATCATTACCAACCGTTAACGATTTTGATATTGATTTTGATTTACTAAAATATTTTTAATAATTTTTATCGATATTTGAAATCGATTTCAAACCCTGGTTTTAACCTCTGTTCTAAAGTAATAACTAAAAAAATGTTGGAAGACACATTTTTAGATTACAAACAAGAAAAATGTATAGAAAATAATAAAATAGTATTCTAGTAGTGTACCTACAATGGGAAAAATAAATTTAGCAATAAAATGGACAAGAAATTAAATAATCAAGATCCCTATTTCTCTATTAAGAGAAACCATTTTTGTATTGATTGAGCGTTATAAATTGAGCTTTCAGAAATCTCAAAATTACATCTACAGACCTTTTGGGAATGGTGAACTACTAGCCAAGTATTCCTGGCATACATACGATTCAGAGAATATTATAATTAGGGTCCGGATTTGTATGCACTTAAAAACCTTAAAATAGTATGCATTTATGCATCAAAAAACCTTTAAATATGCACTAGATATGCTCTTATTATTTTTAAAAAATATGCAAAAATATGCTCTTACCCAAAATATATGCATTATAATTTTTTTTTTTAATTTTTTCTTTATATATTATTAAATAATAATTAATACAACATAATCAAACAAACTTAATTTTTTTATTACCGGCACTGCGACATCAACTTACAACATTAATTAAAGACAAAAAATGTTTAAAAATTACATTAAATTAATAAAGTGCACTTTAGTTAAAAATAATAATAAAAAAAATGTATTTAATTCTTTTATACCAATGAAGACAATTTATATATATAAAAAAAACAATTTAAACAAATAAAAACATTTTAATTACCTCCTAATAGATATAAATCGATATTTACTTTTTATAAAAAGAGTTAACAATAATATACTCTTCCATATGTTCAAGTGTCATATTTATTCTTCTATCACTTAATATATGTTTATATAGACTGAAGGATCTTTCCACATCTACTGACGTCAACGGTGCATATTTCATATTTGCCACAGAGCAAGGATTGAAATTTTCTGGAATCTGTATTTCATTGTTACCTGATATAACTAGTCCGATTTATTCTAGTACTTGAAATCCTTTATTTTTTTGATATAACTGAGATATTTTATTTTTTATGATAGAACCTTTGTCACCTTGTATATTTGATAGTTCGGAAATTATATTTTTCGTAATCTCTAACGATTGTAGTAATGTCAATTTAGTATCTTCTAAGTTTGTGATTGCCCGAATAAGTCCAGAAAAGTTAATTTTTATAAATGTTAAATCATTTTTCACTGTAGTCAAATTGAACATTTTTTTACAATTATCTACACTTGCTGAAGAATCATTATCTAGTTTTTCTATTACACTTTTAATACCTTCATAGTTATTTGCATTAAATATAACTGCCTCTATCCATGTCCCCCATTTTGTAATAACTGGTTCCGAGGGCAATGGTAAACCAGGTAGCATTTCTTTATATAGTTGAATACGAGAAGGTGACTTTAAAAAAGATTTTTTTACATTGTTAATTAATTTATTTATATCGGGGAATAACTCTCTTACCTTTTCTGCTACTCTGTTTAATATATGTGCTACGCATGTTACATGGATGATATTTGGGTAAAACACTTTTAATGCATCTCCAGTTTTAACCATATATGGCGCTGCATCTGATAAAAACAATCTTAGGTTTTCGTCATTTCCCCCAGCGGGCCATAATATTCTTAAACTATCGTTAATAAAACGAGATACGGTAGAGTGATTTGTTTTTGGCAGTTCTTTACATGCTAATAGATACGGTTGACTTGGTGTATCACATTCTAAAACGCCAACTAATTAATTTGCTATATAACAGCCGTTTGTATCAGTTGTTTCGTCAACAGCAATCCAAATATCTGAATTTCCAATAATTTCTCGGATTGCATTTATAACATTATTGTAACATGGACCAAGATAATTTTTTCTAAGTGTACTTTCATCGGGAATATGCTTACCTGTGTACTTTTCCAAAAAATTCTTGAATTCGGGAATTTGAAGTTTATTCCATGGTATATTAGCGACTATCAAAGCTAAACAAAGATCCTCGTTAAAAATGTTACCAGATTTAGGTTTTGCGTCCAATACAAATAATTGTTTTTTGTTATCATTTGCTTTACGATTTAAAGCACTTTTATGCAAAGCAGTATCAACGTGTTGTTGTATTTGAAATTTTTTGGTGCAAACGATTTTTTTGTCACACAATTGACAAAACACTACAGAACCGTCCGTAGTAAAAATTGTGTGGTCTGTTTTATTATACAATGCAATCCATTGTTTTATTAAAATTTGAATATTACTACGACTTTTCGGCATTTTAAAATTTACGAGTGTAAAAAAAATTATTAAAGAAATTTGTTTATATACGGAATGCGGATTACGAAATTATATTTATAGGCGATTACCGACTGGCGACTACAGTACGACGCGTGACGATTAAATACCAACTAAATGTAAAACAACAAGAGCCACGATGCAGCGTGTTTATCCAATATAAGACTTAAAATCACGATAATAATAATAATAATCATGCTAAAAATATAATTGTATGAAGGAAATTTATATATATAACTGGTCTTCATTGTTGTCGATCGATGTGTTTCGATAAGCAAGATATGGTTTTAATACAAATTAAATATTTCCCCACAATACTTCATAAACTCATAAATCTAGTTTCTATAGTGAAATATAAATAAAATAACTATTATGTACCAAAATATGCTTTATTATGCCGAATTCTTCAAATATGCTCTCAACCTTAAAATATGCATTTATATGCAAAATAAACTTTTTTCTATAGATTCTCTGCTACACAAATCGTTCACATTTCTTACTCTCGTTGAACTGCATACACTCATTACAAATATGTAAATGCATAAAAATCCGGACCCTAATTATAATTGAATAATTGAAATTTTATCATACTCTCATAATTTGCTCGCTGTAGTCAATTGAACATTTCATTATAAAATAAAATGTATATACTGATTTGTTGACGCACACCTACATATTCATACTCACATTATAAGTATACATGTGCATTTGGTAATAATTAACGCAAACTGATGTTTATACCTGACATTCTTGGCAAAAATTTCAGGGCTGATACATGTTTTTGTTACGAAATGAAGTGTGGTGAACAACGACCTAAATCTCTTACAGTGTTTGTTGTAACATTAACGATTTTGATACGTTTAAAATTACTCTATCTGAGATAAAGAAAGATTCATTGCTTGATCATTAAATTTTTAACCTCGCCCAGAATCTAAAATGTGTGAAGGCAATTCATTTTCATCTAATAATAAACCACATGGGATAAAATAGAAATGTAAGAAGTAAAATGGTAGAAAGTAGTCGAACATGGTGTTAAATTAATTACAAAGGAAAAGGTTTAAAAAAATGTAGATTGAAATTTATCAATTGTTTGGACTAAGAAGTTATAATTTTGGTAAAAAAAAAAAAGGATACTATATCGTCTACTTTTGTATTTGTTTATTTATTTCATATTTGACCGAACATAAACATAATTGTGTAATCTAGATTAATTTAGTTTACTTGGAAAATAGTTCAATAACATTTATATGTAGGTATAAAGCATTATAGACACAATTATATTATTATGTTATTATAAACTATATCAAATATAATTTTAATAATTTTAAAATAAAGTCTGATGTATAAGCGTGTCATAAATATTTCCTTTAATTCTTAAACTTAAAAAAATGTTTAGATTTATATATTTTTTTACTATGTTTTGAAGCTTTAACATTTAAGCTTACTTAAATTATTGACTGGTGAGTTTTTGGATAGTTGCAGGACTCCATTTACTGATCGTTGAATAATGGGAAATTATGACGTAAAACATTTAAAATTAAAATCATAAACATCATCGTTACGCAATTAAATAAATAATTATTGTTGAGAATAAGAAAGTAAACAAATTCATGAATAAAAATACATAAAAATCAAAACACAATGTTTTCCCAATTTTTCTGGAAAAAAACCCGGGGTATTTTTCAAGTTAGTTATTTTGATCCCTAGTTTTAGTTATTGATTCAGCGGTCGTATGATCCATACAGGGGGGTATCACTCTATAGGAAGGATCTGATAGTGCCTTTACGACACGCGGCATACCAACACAATGAAAATAACCTACAATATGTAAGAGTTGTTAGTGTTTCTATAAGTGATGCAACTGTAGTACTGGCCAATGACCATTTCATCTATTTTATTTTGGGATTTCCCATTTGATGACCCACGGTTAAGCATTCGATATTTTAGTCGTTTTTACAACTATCTATTTTTTTTATGCAGCTGTTATACGATTTATACCGTTCCATTTATATATTTTACCTACAATTGTATAACAATAGTTATAGTTTTTTCGTATTTTATAATATTATTATGTCTTCCAAACAATGTGTTGTTGTTGGTTGTGGTACATCATATGATGATATGATAACACTTCGTCATCGTTTTCCAAAAGATGAACTGACATTTAACGCTTGGGTAGAAAGGTCTGGAAACAACAAATTATCTAATTTACCAATGAACGATGTTTACAAACGTTTTATTATGTGTGACAAGCATTTTGCGCCAAGCTGTAAAAGTCCTGGATTTAAGAAGCTCATAACAAAATCTATTCCTACTTTGAATTTATCAGGTAAGATTTCACTTACCTACCATTATTTTTTTTTTTTTTAATAGATTTTAATGACTGCGATTAGTTGGTACCACATATGAAGTAATAATATTACTATATTATAGTACCTACTATCTTAATTCATGGTACCACACCATTGTGGTATGTACAAATGTGTGTAAAATTATCATACCTCCTACCTATTTTTATTTGCATAATTTTATAATATTTTTATTGTAAATTATATTAATTGTTATGACAATTTTTATTTATTCTAGAAATCGTTATTCTAGAGGAATGCATCTTTAAGATTTATTGATAACTACTTAATATTAAGTTTCAATAGATCTTAAAGAATTATGTAAATATTTTTTGAATATAAGTTATTAATATAGTTTACAATAATTTGGTAGATGTCGCTGATAATAATATGTCTATTGAAGTTGTAACTGAGGATTTTTGGGAAGGTACTAATTGTCAAATGCCTACTGAATCTGTAAATCGTATAAGATCTTTTGATTTAGATGTTGAATTAAATACAGGTAAGATACATAAATTGTGCTTAATAATATGAATAAATAATAAAATATGTATATTATTCATAATACATTTTGACATGGAGTGGCATAGTGGCATACAAATTTCATTGTACCTAATAATAATACCTATCTAATCGTATAACTAATACAGGGGTGTACAAATTATCATTTAACATCTAATAAATCAATATTGAAGTAATGGTCCCTTAAATATGATTTAATAGACCTTGTTTAATCCATTAAATTAATAACTTTTTCATACAACTTAGCATAATAATACTTTTGATGGTGTTTTTAGAAAATGTATTACATAGGTTAGGTTAGATTTATCTATTACATTTTATAATTTATTAAATCTTAATATTTTTTAACATATAGATTACACTTATGAAGATGAAGCTGAAATGTCTATTGAGATTATTACTAATGACTTTGATGAAGGTACTATTCCACAAATGCCTATTGATTCTGGAATTAACATAGGTAAATTAATAAGTTACTTACAAAAATAGATTAATTTTATATATTTATATTCATATAATCCAATTTTATAAACTCGACAAACGTCAAAGTACAGAAGGAGATCGGTTAACACCCAAACTCACTGATTGTCATATGTATCCAGCTACACTGAAAAAAATGAAAGTGGCTAATGCAGCTCAAGTTTTTAGTCAACGCGTTGGAGCAATTATGAAACGATTTGCTGAGATGAATAAAGGTTTATAGTATAATCCATCATGTGTTATTGTAGAATTAATAACAAATTATATCTTCTAATAAATTTTTGTATTTCCACAGAAATTCCAGTAATAATAGGCCTTGATGCTTCAGCACAAAGTACAGGACAATTGTGTTTATTTATGGATAAGTTATTTGATAGTGCAAACGGTAACTCCATTAAACCAGAACTTGGAAAAAATTTAAGATGTGCAGTTACAAGAAATTCGTCTCATTGGGATTTTTGGCAAAAAGCATTAATTACTCTCAATTCAATGAAGTACATAAATACAAACAAAGCAATTGTTCCTTCAATTACTAATTGGATAAAGACAGTAAAGGGAATTATGCACATTTGTAAACGACTTCTTGATTGTGGCTTTGCATTTGTATTGTTGCGAAATTTTAATCAAGATCCGATTGAAAACTTTTTTGGTTCTATTCGTAGTCATGGAGTCAGGAATATAAAACCAACACCGGCTGTGTTTATGTCATCATTTAAAGCATTGTTAATAAACAACTTCACGTCTAACCATTCGGTAGGATCAAACTGTGAAAATGATGATTGTGATGGTGCTTTGGATAATTTAAAGAATTTCTTATTTGATGAAATACCCCTAGAAGAAACTATCATTCAGAGTCCAACAGAGAGCATGATTGAAATTGAAATTCCAAATGTTAAAATACCTAGTTCTAATTCTCAAGTGAATTCTGGAAGTAGAGCTTATGTTGCTGGATGGGTTATAAAAAAAATTAAAAAAATTACCAATAATTGTCGATTATGTGTATCCATGCTTTCATCTGACATTGTTTTAAATGAACATTTTATAATACAAATACGAAATTATTCTCAATGTAAACTATTTCTCCTTGATAAAAATGTAATTAACTTATATAGCTATATAATACAATTTTTTAATTTAAATTTTCACCATTTCGCCTGTAAAAAAGGTGGTTGTAACATTTTTAAAAATATTGTGAAACAAGTTATTTCCCTTCAAAATCTTGTTTGTGAAAATCATGATTTGTCTATTATTTTTATAAATACTGTGTGTAATCTTTTAATTTATTCATACATTAACCATATTAATCGCATATTAAGTAAAGGTGAACAACTAGTAACAGAAGATCTTATAAAATTGTCTGCAAATACTTATTTTAAAAAATACTCAAAAAAAAAAATTGTATTGCAGAGACAAAATGTTAATTATGTATAATAACTTGATAAGTATGTAATAAATAATTATTGTAAGCTTTATAATAATATGTAATATTATATGTAATTATTAATTTTAAGAGTTGTACGCATACTGATACTGATACTGTATATTTTACTCAATTTATAACTATTTAAAATGTATATTTTGTAACATACTTTTTACAAAATAAATATAATTTTGTTTATTAATTTTTCAATCGTTTAAATTAATCTATTTCCAATGAAAGTTTAAAAAAAGTAATATCATAATAGAATTGGATAACGATCGATTACTTATTATCGATTGCTAACTATCGATAGTAAAACTTTAGTTCATTTGAGATAGTCATTACGACAACCGTTGTAGAGCGCTAGTAGCCATCCACTATTAAATATTTCTACAACAGTTGCCCTTCTATCTAATCTCTTTTCTATGGATCCATACCTCTATGAGCGTTTTATTTTTATCAAAAGAAAAGTAACTGACATTAATGATATGATATGGTAATAATAACTCTGATTTTAAATCGGGTACAATTATTTACTAACGGTACAGAAAATCGATTCAACCGAACACCATCGCAAATCATTTAAAAATGTATTTAAAAAATAAAAAACAATCTAATTTTACCGAAAAAAAAAAATAATTTTTATGTTTTCTATCGGTTTCACGTTAAAATATGCGCGTGTGTATAGAATGTAGGTTGAAAAACGACGATAACCGATTTAATTACCACCGCGGACCGTTTGTTAAAGTATTCGTAGCGATAAATCATCAATCAGTAACAAATAAAACTCGCAAATGTCGTTGAGTGCGAAACGTGAAATGCTGTTTTAATTCACGATTAGCCAAATAACATAGTAATCATACATCTATTTACACATATTCATACAACTATTTGACGGTGTTTTTTGTTTATCCATCCGGTGTATTATAATATAATTATTATGTAATGTATCCCGAAAAATACGGAAAATTCACACCTTTGAATACACACCCATGCCGAATGACGTTTTATACACGTCGGCTAAGATAATAATTTTCGTTAATACGCGTTACGAGTTGAACACTACGATTCGCATGTGCATAAATTAGGGCTCAATGTATAGGTGAGCTAGGCACCTGCTTAGAGCGGCACTTTAGTAGGAGTGGCATTTTCAAAATTGATTTGAACATTTTTTTTTAGTTCTATTGGTGTTTTTTAAGAAAAATATTTAAATGAATTCATTCATAAAAACCACTTATCTATATAATAAAATAATATTGTCTAAAGTTATTATATTACTTCATATTACAGCCTACGCTGGGCGTTTTCTTTCAATTATTCAAAAAATATAAATAACCACATATCCGATAGTCGCGGTAGTGATGGGTTTTGAGTAGTAGTAATAGAAATTATTTTTAACTCTTTTTACATAAAATTTTATCCATAAAATAAAAAATTAAAATTTTTTTTATGTAGATATGTCACATAAAAAGTAGGATGAAGGGCTAAGTTAAAATAAGAGCTCAATTTTTTTTTAGAGGCGGCAAAATTGATTTTTCCTAGTGTACTATTTTTGCTTGGGTCGGCCCTGGCATAAATCGTTTCTCAAACATAAAACGTTGCAATGGTTTTTTTATTCGCGCATCGTTATAACTGCCTTTGACTGATCAGCCCATATTTAATCGGACAGAACACTCCTTTGAGTTAAGGTTTGACTGCATGGTAGTCCTCGTACGACGAATGCGTTTACATAACGTGCACAAAAGATGACATACATCGGTATACAGTGCTGAGAACCGCAAATTCTTATTTTGCAAACGTGAAATAAAATAAAGTCGTTGGCTATCCGGATGTTGGTCATGGTCAGCGGGGATGGGAAGATTTACGTTTCCTTCCTGTACGAGAAATACATGCGATGTCATCAGTAAACACAATCGTAATAATGACCGACAAAAGAAGTTTTTTCGTTAATATATTAATATATTTCGTAATATTAACTATACTTATCTTGTTTTGCAAGACTCGAAATAATTCACATTTAAAGTTAACTTATACTTGCTTCGATCTAGATATCTATTTGTGTAGGTATAATAGGCAATAGAATCGAAATATTGTTCTGCCGTCATCTCAAAAATTGCACTGCCAATGTTAAATATGATATCGGTGTGTTTGTGCGAAAGTGCACTAAAATGTACCGCCAGCGAGATATCTGGTAGGTAGGTATATCTATACTCTTATTCAAACTTCAAATAATCATGTGGCTTATAAATAACTATTAGCGGTTTAATATTATAGTGTCGTGAAACATATTTTTCTGTGGAACACGAAATGATAAAAATAGTAACTATAGATATTTTTTGTCGAGAGGTTTAGTAATAACGACATTATATAGTGTACAAATCATTTTTTTTCTCTTAAAAATCACTCTGAATAAAAGTAAAAATCATTGTTTTATGAAACTAAAACTTAACAAACGGCCGAAATTACCTAAAAATACAATGTCGAAACATCCATGAATATGTGAATAATCCATAAAAAATATCGAAATTTGTCAGTTTAAAACGTCATATTATTTATACCCAGCTAGATCATGGCGAAAATAGTCCATAGCGTAGAAACATTTATAATATTTAAACTACGACCGACGGTTTAATTATTGAGAGTTGACATTAATATTTGGCGTGACTGCATATATTACAACGCAACCTAGCACGCTTCGAAAAGCTCACAGCCGACTTAACTTCAAAACGTTTACTTCGAAAAATAAATGTTGGTCTGTTAATGTATATTGATGTCAGATAATTTACATCATTCACGGATTGATTGTAAATCGATAGTTAGTGCAATAATGATAATAATAATCATTTATTATGCATTTTTTTCGGGTAAAATATTGTTTCATGAACATAATTATTATTCGTATGTTATAAAAGAGTTCCAACATTTTTTCAGAGCTTACACGTCACTCGCTCAACGTTATAGTATGCCATCGTCTTGTACACATGTTTTATTTTCTAGTAGATCCGATGTTGCGATCAACTAATAGCCTTTGATTTTTAAATTTCCATTTTCTCTACTTAAGCACCAACGTCAAGAAATGTTAAGAAACGAATTAAAAATAAATAAATAAAATAAAATAAAAAGGTAACTTAACACAGAATTTTTTTTTCTCTAATCTTAAATTCAAGGTAATAATAAAAAGCTCTAATATTGTATAACTGAGGATCATCAATAAATTATACAACACGTACTCGTATGTGCAATGTAAACTAGTACAATTATATTTTTATTATGACATTTAATAATATTAAGCATCAGATTAAAACTTAAAAGGAAGAAGTAATTATTCAAACCACAAGCTTGATGGTTACAATGATGGTTCACTTACAATGACGTATAATTAATCTAAAGTAATACATTTTTTTCGGATTTTTCTTTTTTTTTTCACATTAAAACATGGCTTGGTGATTCAAATATTTAATATTACATAATAAATAAATTAGATTAATTTAATAACGTACCATGGTGTATACATGTTTACAGATTTGAATGAACAATGATGGACTTGATTATAAATTCATGTTTTTTTTTCGACCTCATATACTGTACAGTAAATGTATATGCTTTGGAGTCTGCCTTTTATATTTATTTCCCTGCATTACCCCACCACGGGATCCTCTCATTATTTTACACCTCACTGTCGTATATATATATATATATTATATAACATTTCCTTTTTTACGTCCCTCATTTTTTACCCGCTCCCAAGAATATCTCAATTACCTTGTTTCCTCTTTAGTTTTAAATCCACTGAAATTTAATTTCTTTGAAACAATTTTCCAATCACATATTTTCTACGTAGATATTTAATATGTATGAAGAGTACATATATTTATATTTTTTAATTTATCATTTTTTTAAGTAATTATTATAAGTAGTTTGTCGAGGAGTAATTACTGTTGAAATTTTGTAGTGTTTTTGTTTTTTTTAAGTATGTTTTCTGAAATTAAATTTTATGATATTACAAATATTATTTTCGTTAATTTTCTTTTTTCTCTCATACGGTTTTATTCAAAACCTACATTTAAGACAGAATAGTTAGTAATTTTTAATTTAATTTTCTAAATTATTTGAAATGAGAACTCTTTGCCTTGAGGGATTGCAAAATAATTTATTATTTTTAACTGGAATTAGCCCAGACTGAATGCAGTCAGTTTTAAATCAATTCGAACTACTTTTTCCATCAAAAGAACCAAAGAAATATATATATTTTAAACGACTCGGTATCCTTGAAACTTTTGCGTGTTATTTATTCTGTAGAAAATGAATGAAAAAATTTATTTTTAAAATCTCGTCAAAAGTCAATCATTCATAATAAATTACCAGGAGTTAAAATATTTTCAAGAGTAACTTGCCAATTATGTTCCATATCTGCTAACTGTACATTACATACGTTTATATTCATTTATACTTTATTTATTTTGTTTTGAAAAGTCTTTGTTATTTTAGTTTTTAACACAAGTATCAGATGCTTGTAACCGAGTTTACTTAGTTTTCAACTGGTGTTCGATGAAAATAAATTTGGAACTTAAGAGCAATAATGTAATTTGATAATCAATAATTTAGGCAAAGTCGATAAATACTACAACAGTCATTATCTCATGGTTCAAATAATTTATGATTCGATATTTAATTCCAGATTAAAGTGTTATTTATTTAGTAGCCACTTTATTTGTAATTTGTATTATTTTATCGGTGAAACAATATTTAAAATTGTATCTTATTCTTTTGTGTCCTCAAAATACTTGTGTGTACACCCATGAACGTTTAGTATACAACATTACACTAGTGTAGTTTTGCTGATGGTACTGTTATAAAATAGATACTCTTAATACTTTAATCTACTTTAATCCTGTTATATTCTTAGTATATATTTATGTACTGATAATTATACCTTTGATACCTTTTATTCACAACGACACGTTTTATTTTGCAATAAATTAATTTATTTGTTAGAATAAAATTTATGTATTTGTTCAATTTTCAATCATAATTATAATATTATAGACAGGAATTTAAAATTCATAATCTAAATATATTAGAATGGTAACTAAATGAAAATACAACAAAAAATTAAAAATGGTAAATTAATGACTGAGAGACTGTAGAAAAAATAAAAGCGATTGAAATATTGTTCTATAATACGAGTATAATATTTGGGATTCAATGCAATGAATCCCTATATAATACTATACTATATAATAAATGTATTCACAACTATGGGATGTCATGAGAAATTGCCTCAAAATAATTTTTATAATTCTAAAGCAGTTTAAATGTGATAAGCTCACTATGGCACTGCAGAGGTTCAATTATAACATTGTAAAAATAATAATTCTCATTATATTGTCTATTGATATAATTAGTTTGTACTTAAGATCGATTTCTATCGTTTATACCGGTTATGTATTTTGTTGTTGATTGTATAACCTATATGTAATCAACACGAACATAGTAATATTGTTTTAATATTGAAATTATCGAGGCGTAGACTCTCGTCGTCCGTTGAAAATAATTAATAAATCTACACTCGATGAAATACTTGAGCGATTGAACTGTAATTTTTCTAGTAATAACATAATTCAGGACGCTATTGCCGTTTCAAATTAGATCGTTTTGAGCTGTTTCAGAACGAAATATTTAAATATATTAATATTGTGAAAGTGTTAAGTCAACAAGTGTATACAGAACGTGAATTGAAAATAGCTAGTGGTAGGCTGATACTACGGTTTGCTAAAAAGACGCATAATAATTTAATAATTTTGAAAGTAGTTTTACTGCAATTATTCGGTTTCTATAAATACGTATGTATAGACATATTATTCATACCTTTACTTTAAATATTTAATTGCGAAATATCAATAATATTATATACATAAACTCGATATTATTATAATATATTATACGATGATACGTCTATACGTATCGAAAAAAATTGCACGGTGAAAAGTCTATGATTTATTTTCGTAAAATTTAAATAATCTGATCTATTTAAAATTATCATATATTTTTGACCTGTAAAATAAAATGTATGTATTTGTTTGGTCTGAGATTCGATATTTCTTACATGATATATTAGTTCATTATCAACTCCTGTTTGTACCCACTGTGCAATAAACTGTTACAAACATTCCAGAAATATACATTTTTTAGAATGTAAGAAATAAATAAGAACGTAATGTTATCTGAAATCTTACGTAATGTTCCGCAAAAATATGAGTAATATTCACTTTAAGTTCCAATGTAAACATTACAGTAAAACGTTCCGTACAAACATAATGGTTTTGAAAAAACAATGCTTTGTCAATGTGCAATGTTTCCCTTTGTGTACCAGCAAAAAACTAGCTCCAACCATTTCAATAACATATTAAGTAGATAACATAACATGGGTAGTTTATTTTTATTTATTTTTTTCGTTATATTTCTAAAAATATACATATTAGTATTATTATAGATACGGCATTCGTCAATACATGCTATCGATGACTGGCAGCGTATCTATATTATGTATAATATAAAATTAAGTGTCCCATTATCAGATTGTTGGTCTAAGCGTCGTTTCATACGCCATTATTATATATTAACACTGATCATTTTAAAAATAATTGTTATTGGATATTTTACAAATTTTATTTTAGAATAATACGGATAATTTGCATAAAGAAGTTAGGTATATTTCACACTATATTATAATTAATAACTAAATATTTCGTGGGTAACAGGCCAAGTGGATGCAGGGTCGTAGCAATCAAATATTGCGCTCAGGGCGAAACTTTTAAATGTGGCCTTAAGTATTTAAATTTATAAAAAGAACTCACGAAAAACTGAGTATTTTTTATAAACGCAAAATAAATAATACATTTTCCTTGTAATTATGTAAGCGTTTGTTAATTTTATTTAAATCAATAACTTATTAAAATATAAATATACATAATAGTTATAAGCAGGACTCGGGAGTTAAAGCATTTGCTTATTTTTATGGATTAACTTAAAATGTAGCAGAGTGCTATGTAAATGTATGTCAAGTTATAACACCTAAATTATGAAATTTGAAAGTATCTTTTTTTTGCTTTCTTCAGCATTTTTTCAAAAAAATTGTTATTTCCAGTTTTTTTGATTATTTTTGCTCATTTGACCAGTTTTTTTTTTACGTTTTTATAGTTTTCTCCTGCAAAGTCGTTTTTGATAAAATTAAAATTAAAAATAATGCTTATCTTATCTACGTTGTCACGTAGTTCGTCGCCGTCCAAGGCATCGTTGTAGGGTTAACAAAGGTATTCCAACGCAGAAAATAGAACGTCAGAATGATCAAGAACAGAGAGAACAGTTTACATTTTATTTTTTAGAAAAATCTCTTAGAATTAATCCCTTAAAATCCTGAAAGTCTTGAAAGTGAAGATTTATTTTTATTTTGTTTGATATTTTAGTTAGAATTTTATAGTTTTTTTTTTTTTTGAATAAATATTTTTTAAATGCTTATTTTATTGCTTATAATGATGTTTTAAGCGCTTTATTAAGTGCTTATTTTAATAATTTTAAGTGCTGTAAGTTCTGAGCCTTGGTTATAAGTAGATTTATAGATATAACATAATAATATTTATAAATTATATAAGTAAATACATAAATACATAATATTACTTTTACTTATAAGTAATAAGTTATAAGGAACAATTAAATTTAAATTTTTTCATTTTTGCACCCTTCCAGGAATTGCGCCCGGGGCGTAGGCTCTTCTAGCCCCCCTTACTACGGCCCCGAGTGGATGATACACACACAAGCGTTGTTTCCGTCTTACAAACGTACAGTTGCAAATTTGCGTTTTCTATGGATGGAGTAGGTCGGGGTTTTCGATTTTGTTTATTGCTTCATCCCTTTTCTCATTCGTAAACGCAACATGATAAGGTGTTAGTTTTTAAATTTAAAATCGATATACAAAATAATTATTAAACTATTTTCTTTACTCGATAATTCTATGAAGTTTACAAACATTTTACGCTCTTGAGACTTATCTAGATTGAAATATGTATAATATTATGCTTTAGCTATCTAAAATATTGGTTGGTATTTGTATAATATGTACGTCTCGTTATTATTATTATTTTTTAAACGTATTACAGTTAAAAGAGTCATATATCGCAGTGCAACAAAAAAGACGACCACTTAGATAATCGATGATTGAAAAAGAACAATATGTTTATGTGAAACAATATGTGTTTGAATATTTACGTAAGCACTTCATTTTCTATAGTTCTATACCTACCCGCGTATGCTTTAAAATTAAATGCATTGAAATAAAATCAATATCGCAGGACGATATTGAAATGTAACTATTATCCTCGTTATAGCTTATTTTGATATATTATAATTTTGTTTTATCGATTGCAACACGAAAAAGAAGACGATAAAAAATAATTTATCATACGGATGAGACGAATTATAATTTTCCCATGTCTATTCGGTCAATAATAAAAATCCATCGTTGGCTTAAGCATTAGTATTAATTCTTAACTACGGGCTCGTTTGAATATCACTATTTTTTTTTTCTTTATACATTTCATTAATAATAATCTTGCTCTACAATACTAAGTTGTTTCGACTACATTATTGAAATCGCACTACCAATGCACGCATATATTCAACGATACCGGCGATTTGCGATGGTATTTTATTATACATTGACATTGTTTTGCAGAGTTCTTTTGGATTTCTCAATAACATTTTTTTTCACCATTCCACGTGACCGACACCGTATTTAATTACGGTAGTTCGGTATGCCAACTTTCTATTGCACAAGTCTTTGGGTTTCGACCACTGATAATGAAATTTTTTTCCCGCCGAGTCCATCATGCGGAACTATTTGGTTAACCGTACAATACGCGGACTGATTTCTATTACGGCGTAAGAGGTGCTTGCAAATTAAATTGCTTTAGGTAAAAACGTTGAAAATATTAATTGCGTTTGGCAATTTTCATTTTAGACTTTTTGGCTTTACAGGTTGAAAGCGAAATGTGTTTGATCGCAGCTTTCTTTTTCAATTAACGTATCGAGAAACATTATTTCGGCTACTGCGTCGTACATATTCGTAAAGCGTTGAAGTCCATTAATTATACATATAAATACCATATTTTAACCTTTATCGTAAAAGATATGCAGAAAAGTTTTCTAAAACCTTTTTTTTCAGCAATTCGCCCACATCGAGATTGGTCGATACGAGAAGGCACTTAGCATTCGTAAGGATGAATATGAATGATGTACGGATGGAGCAATAATCGATTTGAATATTTTGTTTAAGAAATATAAAATCAAAGAATTTATTTTCCATCGGACAATATGTTTATAGGACTCGAGATGTGTTCACGGAGATTATATATACATATTACATTTATAGATTAGCATATTTTACGTGGATCTGTACGCTTATGCAATGCGAGTGCCAAGTGACCAATATGTAAGTATAGGTACAATTTAGTAGGTAGCTAAAATGAATGCGTTTATGTGCGCCATATAATATTTTTATATGCATCTTATTATTGTGTACGAGTATAATTTATAATAGTAAATTTATTTCACATGTTTAATTTATAAATCGTGATATTGTGTTTAAAAAATAACCAGTCGCAGTTCGTCGTAGTATGTATTCGGTAACAATAATATGTAATTATGAAAACTTGATTACCAAGTTGTAACGGTTAGCTAACCTAACAAACGTTCTATTGAATTCACCTTGTATAAAAAATACACATCCACATGCACGTTTATATCTACTCATGATGTATACATCTATGAAAAAAATGAATGTAACTATTGAAGTAAAATATTAAAGTTTTTCGTGAAGAATGGAACTCACTATCATGCTCCAAATACAAAATAAGTTTCTAGGGATTCTCTAGAGAAATAACGATGAATAACGAAAAACAAAATTATTATGCCTTTGTATATTTTATAACGTATAAGAAATCAAGAGAATTTGTTGGAAGGAAGAAAAATTAGTGGCTGTTAATGAAAAGATGATTATTTGAGATGTAATTTAGTTGTTATACTAATAATAATCAATCTTTTCAATTTTTCGTTCTAATTAATATATTATTATTCATAGTATATATTATTTATGTTCAGTAATATTGATAATAATTCATTATAATCCATATAAAAAATTCCATATGTACCTAATAATATAGAGTGGTTATTCTGTTTTTTTTTTTTTTTTTTAAGAAGAATATTTAATATAATATAAGGTTTAGTTTTGAATTTATATATACGAGGACGTTTAAACAAAATCAGTTTTAATAATTTATTATATTATTAAAAACAATTTTTTTTATAGATCATTATTTCTACTAAAAGAAAATTTAATATAGATATAATAAAGTGTGCTTTTCAATGTTTTAAATGTTTGCATAGCAACGATGAAAACGAATTCATACCATACATAGACTTTCCGGTTATTTATTTTTTATTATTACTATATGCATATATATGTTTATTTCTTTGTGTAATGTTTCAATTTCGTATTGGATCTTAAATTATAACTATACTTTTGTACGTGAGATCATAGGCGCCAGGTTTTCAAAATGTATTGGGTGCTCTTACCAATGTCAAGCAGTGGTGCACGCAGGGTTGTAGGGGGTAAGGGTTTCACCCCCCTCGAAATTTCTCCGAGGACTAGTATTATGTTAGGGCTATACAATATTTATCTCTATAGCAAATTATTAATAGAATAACAACCCTCCCCCTAAAAAAAATTCCTGTGTGCAACTGACGTCAAGTATTAGTGAGGGGCTTTTCCCCTCACTCCCTATACTAAATTTTCTATAACCTGGTAACCTTTGTCACTTTTATAAAATTGATGATGAACATAAAACAAAAAGGTTTTCTCATTGATTCAATGGTTACGACTATGAACAAAATATATTGTACTGTTATATGATTACAACTTGAAAACTTAAACTGTTTGTTTTTTGTGTATTATCCACGATTTAAGATAGTATCTATATAATATATTATATCTTAAGTCGTGGTATTACCTTATGAAAATACCGGGAGAAATCAAAATGTATAAAAAAATACAGTACATCCAACAAAAGAAAATTTTTTTTTTTTTTTTTTAACTTGCGAGGTTTTGCTGTGTAGCCACTGATATCATACAATGAACGTGGTGATAACGATTTACCTATTATAATTAATATATTGACCATGAATATTTTCAATGGATGCTAGAGCACTCGAGCACCCATGTACTTGGCGCCTATGCGTGAGATATATCACTTCGATTGTAACGATTTTAATATTTAGAAAAAATTTGTTTTGCAGCGTTCATTATTTTTTTCTGCTAGTCTTGTGTTGACTGTAGTTGTAGAATTTGCATTTTAGAATAAACATATAACGAATTGCATATAACGGAACGGTAATAGTGATTAATAAAAACAGATCGAAGTAAAATACATTTCTTGCTTCACTCAGAACAAATTAATTTAATTTTTTTAATTTTGATAGCGAGATTAATTCTGTAAAACGAAAAAATTAAATATCCTTTCACAATGAATTAAAGTTTTTAGACACTATTGCATTATGCAAGTATAATAATGTATTTTTAAATTATTTGCATGTTCAAATATGAAAAAAACATAAAGTTGAAGTTAAATATGAGGAAAACTGAAAAAAATCTCAGATACTCGAGAGGATGAATTCAAAAATATAGGGCGTAAGCTGAAATAAATTATTTTGGTTGGGAAATAATTTTTTTTTACATACACATATCGTGTATGATAATATATCAAGGGCAACCACGTTCTTTAGTTCAAGGAGAAAAATTGATTTAAGCGAGAACTCATTTAGTATACAAGCGGTTATTTTACTTCGTGAAGATGCATACATATCGAATAGATTACAAAAAAAAAATCCTGTTTTATGTGTTAAGTTCAACAGCGAAATTATACTATTCTAAATTCAGATATCGCTTTCAAAATCCGTTCCTGGAAACCTCCCCTCGGACGAGGCAAAAACGACAATGGCCTCAAGGTCTAATAAATTAATGTCACTTTACCATGAGTAATTTGTAAATTCACGCCGAAGTGCCTTCACTAGTTGGTTCTTCCATCAAGTCACTCAAGCCACTACATTATGACAAATAAAATTATCCATTATGCTTATTGTACGATTTTTATTTTTTTTTTTTATGTATATACTGTATAATTTTCTAAATTAAAAATATAAAGAAAAAAATATGCATTATACATATATTAATTTTAAATAGAATAATAATAACTGTTGTAATCCTTTTCTGTGTAACTATATTTAAATATGGATTCAATCAAATTGTTAAAACACTAGTTTTCAAACTAATCGAACGTTTTTCAGGTTAGCCTTGGTGTGTACAAAACAAATTAAAGTGACTTGAACGTACCGTGACAATTCTGTGAAAAACATAGTGTGTTATGGTAGAAAAAATATTTCGCGTTGAAAAAAAAAAGAAGAGCATTGCGTTGAAGCTTGATTTATCTCAATAACATTAAGTCCAGCAAACCAGTCAATCGTTTTAATTATTCTTACATTTTGATACACATGCTGACAACTATCATCAGTGTTGAACAAGGCAAGATAAAAAAAAATGTTCGCTTTCGGTTTAAAATTATTTCCGTTACCAATGCCGAGTACACCTGGGGACCGTGTGCTAATGTTAATCCGATTATAGGCGTTCGTAAAAACTACCCTCCTCTGGGCCAAGAGGTCACGAATACTACGACGGGTGTACCGGAATGAAGTATCGCGAGGCTAGAGGGTGCAGCTACAAATCGGAATTATCTTTAGGAAAAAAGTGTACATAATCAAAACTGAAGTTACACTCGGTCGAGGATTCCGACGAACGATAATAATCGATTGTAGTAAATAATCGATAAATCATATGATCATTTTTTTTTTGACACGAATCGTTATTTGATATGCGATGGTGAAATGTTTTTGATATAACGATCGCGATGTGTTATTTCGTGCCATCGAGAAAATCAATGACCCGTGTCGGAAAAATCTCGGCCTGGGGGCCCAGTACCGTTGCACCCCTTGCCAGTGGCGTAGCTAGGATTTTTTTTCGGGGGGAGGGGGCTGATCAATTTTACATAGCGGTTAGATAAGTTCTTTCATATGTTTAACATGCGGATGCTAAAGTTATATTTTAGATTTTGGTTCATAATCCTTAACATATATTGATTTAATAATATTCTTGTATACTTTAAATACTTTGGATATTGTATTTTATAGTAATATAAAATAAATTATTTTATACATATTATATATGAAAAAAAATAAATAAAAAAAGCAATGAATTTTATTTTTAATAGGATATAATAAATTGACCAACATTTTATATAATGAAAATAAACCCTATATAAAACATTTTTAATTAATTTTATTGTTAAATGACAAAAAATTTAAGTGAAAATGTTAACCTTTGAGCCTTTCCACTGTTAAAAAATGTATCAAATATTCGATCATCTAAAATTCCAATGTCTCTATGAATAGATAATAATGTGAGTCCGACAAGTCTTGATTCTAAAGTTGAATTCGCGATTCACGATTCGCGACCGACGCACAATACAATATGCGTTAAATACCTACTACCACAGATAGACAGCTTGAAAGTGTTTATACTAAAATTTTTAAACATTTTTACTTTTTTAGCGATTTTCATAGACCACTAATATAATTTTCTTAACATTTGGGGGAGGGCTGCAGCCCTCTCAGCCCTCCCTAGGCTACACTACTGCCCCTTACGCCCACGATAAATCTGGCACCGTCGCAGCACCGTCGAAGCGGAACGGAAAACCGCAACAACAACAACAACGTCAATGATAACGGAAGATACTATCGGTACGCGTTGACGCACGACCATACGAAAACGGCGGTGCTGTTGACGGAACCGCATGAAAACAAACCGACGGATGACTGACTGGACGACCTCGGCGACGGAGTGTTGTTTTTGTTTTCTTTCCACTCGTCGAACACGCGCACCTGATTGCGTACTGAAGCTTATTGTTATCAACACACGCGCATAATTTGCAACTAACGAATGAAGTCTTTTAGCGCAGTCCTTGTAATTTTTTTTATCTCCGGTTATTTTCCAGCATTATACCATTCTCGTTTTAATTCTTCTAAATTTCGAATTTTCTTTATTGCATCAATACATTTAAATATTGTAGGGTGGCTTCCTGTTAAAGAATATTTATTATATTATTAAAAATACTAATTATTAATAAA